AAAAGCCCAATCATTCCCATTTAGTGCTCTCTCTCTCTCTCTCTCTCTCTCTCTCTCTCTCTCTCTCTCTCTCTCTCTCTCTCTCGTGTTTGTGGATACGGACTTGAACTCTCAACTACTGCTCTAGCACCATGACTGCCTGCAGGCTGCCATGGTTTCTATCTTGATGATCATGGACTCAAGTGCCCCAAGACACTCTTTGTGCTGTAAGCAGCCTTTGTCGTGGGGTCTCTTCACAGCAATAGAAAAATAACTAAGACATCAGGGGAGTGTTCTACCGCTGTGGTACATCACCAACACTGTTCTCATTTTGTTTTGTTTTTTTGAGACATGGTTTCTTTTATTGCTTTGGAGCCTGTCCTGGAACTCACTCTGTAGACCAGGCTGGCCTTGAACTCACAGAGATCCACTTGCCCTTGCCTCCTGAGTGCTGGTATTGAAGGCATATACCACCAATGCCTGGCATCACCAACACTTTTAAGGATTTAATTGGACATAAGTTCTTGCTAAGTTTTTTGTGCAGGGATTGGTGCTTACCTCAGCCTTCCTAATGCAAAGATGAGAAGCATAGGTGGCCATGCCCATCCTTAGGCCTCACTTTTTTTTTTGGTTTTTATGAGACAGGGTTTCTCTGTATTGTTTCGGAGGCTATCAGTCCAGCCCAGGCTCGAACTCACAGAGATCCGCCTGCTTCTGCCTCCCGAGTGCTGGGATTAAAGGCTTGCGCCACCACCGCCCGGCAGGCCTCACTTTCTTAACAAGACTTTACGAGAGAGAGAGAGAGAGAGAGAGAGAGATGGAGTGAGGGAGAGGAGGCAACAGTCTTCTTGTGAGGTTCAGCCAATGCCTGTCTGATGCTGGCAGCAGAGCTATACTCCAGTGACTGAGGAAAGATAAAGGTTAGGAAACCATGTTGATGTCAGACTTAGAGTCTATCCTTTTCTGACTTTGGCAGGGTGCCACAGTAGACTTCAATGACACCAGGACCTTGGTCCTGTCAAGCCAGGTGACCTGGCACTGAACTTGGGTCATCATTACAACTCAGGTTCCCAGTGGGAGTCATGAACTTGCATTTCTGAAGTAACTGTCACAGTCCTCACACTTTGGGGGAGGTATATAGCCTTCACCTAGTAAAAAACTAAAGGACATAGATGTAATGAACCTTCATCTGAGGCCACATAATGGATTAGAACTACATGGTACTCATGATAGCTACTTCCCAAGCATGACCATCACATGCTTGAAATGTGCCAGGTGTGGTAGCACAGACCTATAGTCTCAGCATGGGGAGGCTGAGAGGAGAACATTATTGTTATACTCCAGTGTCTGAGGAGAAAAGTCAGGAAACCATAGTGGTTTCAGGCAAGTGTCTGTACTTTTCTGACCTTGGCATGGTGCCATAGTAAACTTCAATGACACCAGGACCTTAGTCCTGCTAATGGGATGATCTGGCATTGAACTTGGGTCATCATTCCAACCCAGGATTCCCAGTGGGAGTCATGAACTTGCATTTCTTAAGTAACTGTCACAGTCCTCACACTTTGGGGGGGGTATATCACCTTCACCTACTAATAGACAGAAGCACATGTTAGGAACCTTTATCTTAGGCTACATAGTGGCTTGGCCTGCATCAGACTGGGATACAGAGGGAAACCTTGTCTAAGACAAAGAAACAAAGAGACCAACCAGTGAGCGCATTTCAAATGTGATATAGTTAATCAAATATTAACTTAAATAATCTCAGTTTTGAAATTAACACCCAACTATTGGAAAACTTCAGCTATTCTTGTAACATCAGGTTCATGGAGTTCCTATTTTCTAGCATGGGGATTCATGATCTCTAAATACAAATCCAACATTTTATAAGGGGAGTAAAAGAAAGACAAATAACAAAACATCTTTGAAGAAAATTTAGGTTTCCGATTAAGACAGGCTCTCATTGCCAAAATGCACACCAGATTTCAAGCACAGCATGAAGAAACAACTTCAGAAGTTGAGATAAGTTGACCAATAAAGGCTACTCAGAGCTGTAAAGTAAGACCTAAAACCAACAGCTGGGGATAGTGCCATAAATCCCTAAGTTGTAGCTGAGTTAGTAGAGTTGTGGCTTACATAGCATACCTGGAACTCTGTGTTTAATTCTCGATGCTCCTTAATATGACCACGGTTACTCACACTTGTATTCCCAGAACCTGGAAGATGGAGGCAGGGGGATCAAAACTCAAAGTCATCCTTGGTTACAAAGGGAATTCAAGGTCAAGCAGGCCTACATTACACTTGTCTCTAAAAGAAGGAAGACATCACAGTGCAATATTAGCATTGACCTACTTATCTATCAAGGGGACCATATGCGTGAAGTCAGCCTTGGCAACTGAACCATGATGCTGATGATGGTTTTGGGTCCTTGATAACTGAAATTTCTTCTTTGAAAATATTTGAGAACACTCATTGTAACTGAAAGTGTGATAATTGTGTATTTCAAAATGACCTTAAGTTCCTGCTCCATTTCCAGAGTGAGGGGATTGCAGGCATATGCCACTTTACCCACTTTATGCCATGTTGAGGATGAAATTCAGAACTTGGTGAATTCTGGGCAAAGACTCTACTGACTTAGCTGCATATCCAGCTAATTTTGTCCTATGATGCCACTGTAATTTGAAACATTTCTGTAGAAGCCGGTGTTGTTTACAAGGTCCCTTCTCAGTTTCTCCCCCCTCTTCCTCTGCAGGGGAGTCAACACAACCTTCCCGTTCCTCATTTGTCACCAATTCTGCTGTGGATATCAGGATAAGAAACAAGTCACCAGAGACAGAGGACAAAGTTCTCATCTAAGCCATAGACATATACAACCTTCCATGATCCACATACATGAACTATACAAGCTTATACCAATTCATATTTTCCCACATGAATGATGAATAATAAAGTCCACATAGTGAATGGTTATAGGAAAGATTGTCAGTAAAATAAAACTTGGGGATTATTGGTATGGAATGAATGTATTTTTCATGTGAAAGGGCATAAGGGTTGTGTGTGTGTGTGTGTGTGTGTGTGTGTGTGTGTTTGTTGTGGTAGGAGCAGAGCAGAAAGCCATAGCTTGAATATTATCTCTAAAACGCATATTGAAATTTAAATGTCCTTATAACAATGCCAAGAAGAGAGGTCTTTAATGTGTGATAACGGCATAAAGTTTTTGCATTTGTTACAGGTTGATGGTGAATGTTATCTCAAACGTGTTTCTGAACATCTGGTCCACAGCAGGTAGTTCTGTTTTGGGGAATTAAGGAATCGTTCAGAGGCGAGGCCTGCCTGGTGGAATTGGGTGACTTACAATGCACTATCCTTAGATTATATGATGTCTTAGACCTGGGCCAGATTCCTGCTTGTCTCTTTCTCTTGTTTCCCATCTGCCACCGTTATGTGACCAGCCATGAGCTCCCCTATCAAGCCTGGGGCTCCAAACGACAAGGATTCCAGCCTTTGAGTAACAGGGCCATGTTTATCCTAACAACCCAATTTGGGACCATTTTTCTGCATTTGTTGCTTTTCTTGCCACCATGGACAAATTCCTCCTTCAGAGCAATTGAAAGGAAAGATGTCTTTTCTGTGAGTCTCTTGGCAGATTCAGTGTAGCCCTTGGGGCTTTGGTCCAAGAATGGGAGCTTGTGTTTATTCTTATGTATGGCAGATGGAAGAGATGGTGGAGGATAAAGAGGAGGAAGAGGATTCTCTCTGTCCCTGTCTCTCTTTCACACACACACACATACACACAGATACATACACAGACACAGAGAGAGAGAGAGAGAGAGAGAGAGAGGATCAGAGAACTTCTTACTCTGTGAAGATAGCAGTAGAATAGAATCATCTGTCTTTAGTCACAATGATCAGAGAATATTTTCGTTAGGGTTTCTAATCTGCGGCAAAACACCACGACCAAAAGCAACAGGGAAGGAAAGGTTGTATTTTGTTTGCATTTCCTCTTCGCAGTTCATCATCCAGGGAAATAAGGGCAGGGACCTAGACCTGGAGCTGATGCAGAGCCTAGAGAGGGTGCTACTTCCTGCCTTGTTCCTCATGGCTTGCTCAGTCCACTTTCTTATAGAACCCAGGACCCCAGCCCAGGGACAGCAGCACCTGCAGTGGACTGAACTCTGTCAATCATTATTAATCACTAATAAAAATTGCCCTGCAGTGTGATTTTATGCATGCATTTTCTCAGCTGAAGCTCCTTCCTCTCCAATGACCCTAGCTTGTGTCAGGTGAACATAAAAGCAGCCAGCACAACACCCAGAGCTTCCCACCGCTCCTCTGCAGGTTTCAGCCTCTCTCTCCTCTGGCTCCACAGCCTCTGCCCTCCTGAATCTCATGCCTCTCCTCCTCTCTCTTCTTTTCTTTCATCTGTGGCTGTCAGGGACTCTGGAGAAATCACATCTGCGGCCCTTCAAGGACATGGGTTGGGGGCTGCATAGACACACAGAGACACACAGAGGGCCATGGGACAGTCTTCTTGTCACTTCAATGTAACCACGTTCACATATGAAGCTAAGCACACGCAGAAGGACCTCCACCATTGAAGACTGTATCTGCAAACACACCCCACACGTGCAAGAGTAGACTCGCTAATATGTCTAGACTCAACCGCAGAAACACACAGCCTCACAGTCATAATAGAAATGACCTTTCACATATGAAAAGTGTACAGTGCACACACTCAGGTCCATGCCTGAATAAATAATCTGATAAGTCTGAGCTGACATGTGTACACTCACCCCAAGAAATAGATATTCATCACTCCCAATGCCCTTTTGTCCTATGTATCTGTTTCATGGTGTCCCTGCCAACATCTAGGGTGGGGTTAAGAGGATAGGGAGTGAACAGATCACTGGCAGACTAAGCAGGAAGTATAGGTGCTCACACTCCTGGACAGGAGGCGGGAAGAGCTGAGGTTGCATAACTGGGTGGAGAGGCGGGTTCAGCATAAAAGGTCCTGCTGGAGTGTGCAGTGAAGTAGAAGGTGTTTAGACGAGGACCATGGAGCCTAGTGTCCTGCTCCTCCTCGCTCTCCTCGTGGGCTTCTTGCTCCTCCTGGTCAGGGGCCACCCAAAGGCCCGTGGCCACCTTCCTCCAGGACCCCGCCCTCTGCCCCTCTTGGGGAACCTCCTGCAGATGGACAGAGGAGGCCTCCTCAACTCCTTCATGCGGGTGAGACTTATGTGGGGATTTAGTGTGGGCTTACCTCTGCTTTTGTCTATGGAGATCTCTCATTAGGATGAGGAACGGACTCCTTCCAGGCCGTAGGTTCAGGTGGGAAGTTCGCTGAGTGTAAGGTGAGATGCTGGTTGGTAGTGGATGGTGCTCAGATTGACAGGCTTGTCCTCGCTATGCTGGAATCATGTGGGGCGCTGCTCTTGGAGTATGGAAAGTATCCAGGTATTGAGATCTAAGTGTGTAGAATTTCACTCCAAGGGGCCCGTCTGTTGCACAAAAGAAAGGAAAATGTCAGAGGCATCAACAACAGGTTTTGCTCCTGTCAACAAAAGAGAGAGCCAAGATTAGCTTGAGGTGTCCAGGGACAAAGGCAGAGCAGGAGGAGGGGTGAGTAGGGCGTGCTTATCTGTTTCTTCCAGCAGCTAGCATTGTATTTTCCAGTCTGCATTTATTTTCATGCTTGGGACTTAATGCTTAATTAGCACTGTTTATTAATAGTTAATCATCATGCATCCACGGTCCCACCTTCCATGAGAGAGCTGAAGCAGGGGCTGTAAGTCCCACGCCTCTGTCTCTCCCTTGGTTGAGGAGATCTCTCTCTGGAACCTTGCATTAATTACCACCTGACTTTTAAAAGATTCCGCCCTCCCCATCAACGGCAAATTTAGTTATTTTAATTTACATTGTGAGACAGGGTCTCCCTGTGTTTTTTAGGTTGGCTTCCAACTCATGATTCCCCTGCCTTAGCCTCATGAATGCGATGATAAATCCTTTTGTTTCCCCCCACTGAATTTAATTAGGCTCATTCAGAGTGGGCTATCTGTGACTGACTGCTTGAATATCACTAACCACAAGAGAAAGGATGCTTCTAGGCTCTGTGGTCAGTAGTGAAGGTTGGTGAGGAAAAGTTGAGATGCTGACCTCCCTCCATAAGGATGGGTGGAGCCTATTTTCTCATGAGCATCTCATGAGTGACTACACCACCAGAGACTCTGACACCTTCCCCCAGCTCCACTAACTGCCCACAGAGAGGGTCTGTCGTACTGGGACAATGCTGCATCTTTCCTCTCATTACAGATGGTTGTGAGCCACTGAGTGGTTGCCAGGAATTGAACTCAGGACCTCTGGAAGAGTAGACAGTGCTCTTAACCTCTGAGTCATCTCTTCAGTCCCATGGGGACAATGATCTTAATGACATGAACACACAGGGTCTATGAAATGTGCAGTCAGCAGGAAATTAGAGCTGATACAAGCTCTGATGTGATGGTTGGCTGCCTTTCTATCTATATATTTTGAACAATGTAAAATCCCATGTTCCACCACATAGCATGATGGGGGCAGAGTTGGGGAGCAGGGCTCCATCCCTGACACCCAGGAGCTGACAGTCTGGTTTGAGTGCAGAATAAACACACAGACATTAGTTAGATAAGTCACCTGTTCACCTGGATGATACAGGCAAAGCAAATGGCTTTCCTCCCTAAGGCTGATTGCTATTTCATGTGTGTGAGTGTTGCCTGCATGTGTGCATGTGAGCCGGGTGCTTGGTGCTCAAAAGAGGCTGGGGTCCCCTGGAAATGAGTTAGGATGGTGTGAGAACCATGTGGGTCCTGGAAACTGAACCCATTCCTTTGCAGGAACTTCATCTTTCCAGCTCCAGGCCTAGTTGAGTAGTAAGGTCATTTAAGGGTCTATAGGGGTCTCCATAAGAGGTAGGATCTTATGAGATTCCCAAAGACTCTGGAGGAAGAATAAATGGGGAAAAGCTGTTTCTGAGGTGCAATGGGGGAAGCCTGGAAGGAACAGTCCCAGGTGAAAGAACATGATGTCATGGTGGAGAGGTAGGTGTTGAATTTTGGGGTCTTGGGGAGGAACCAGCTTGACTGAAGTCAAGAAGGCTAAGATGTGAAATAGTCCACCTAGGCCAGAGAGAAGGGGTCTCCTGGTGACTCTGTCCTTTGTTGTTAGAACACTAGACAAGAGGCTCAGTCTTTTATAAAGTAAAGAGGTTTATGTCCTGGAAAGATGGATCAGTGTAAGGATGCTTGCTGCTTTTCCAGAGGACCCAGTTTGGTTCCCTGCACCCATATCTAACAGCCAACAAGACTTTCAACTCCAGCTCCAGAGAATCTGATGTTTCCTCTAACCTCTGGGAGTACCCACACCCATGTGGCACACACACACACACACACACACACACACACACAAACATACACACACACAAACATACACACCCACACACAAACACATATATGCACAAATACATAGACATACGCAGACAATGAAAATTAAAAGCAAGGCTGTTTATTCAGCTTATAATTATGAACAGACACTCCAACATTGGGCACTCCTTTATCCAGCCTCTGGTGCGAAGCTTTCTCATGTGTCACAATGCAGTAGAGGACAGAAAACGTCTCCCATGCAGAAGAGGCTAACCACAGAGCATGGTCTATAATAACCTATTCTCTGAAAATGCAGCCCTCTCTATGAGACCAGCATTAATCTACTCTGGGCATCTGCCCCAAAGACCCAACTAGGCCCCAACTCCCAAGGGCTCTGCCACCTCTCAACACAACCACACTGGGAACCAAGTCTCCAGCAGAGAGCCCACTTTAACCATGTTCAAGGCATGTGCCATGGAACAGGCAAGGAGACAGAGCAGCTCCAGATGATGGCTCTGGATTCCAAGTGGGATTGATGTCCCGGGAGCAATCAGCTCTGCTCTCTCAAGTGTGTTGCCAATGAGCTCAGAGCATGACTCAAATTCACCTGTTGAAGACCATATCAGCTCCATGAGTCCCAGCTCAATTCCAAATTGCTTGTTGTCCCCACATGTGTTCTGGGAAGGTTTACTTGCAGCTCATAAAAAAATCTACTGCCTAGCCAGCTGTGTTGTTGGAAGTGAGTGTGGGCTTTTTTCATGTGTGTTGTGTTTTTTTCTTAAAGATTTTTAAAAATTTGCTTCCCATGTCAATCCCAGCTCTCTTCCCTCACCTCCTCCCATGCTCCCCCACCAGCTCCCGCAACCCCCTTTCCAATTCCCACTCTGTTCCCCAGGGAGGGTGAGGCCCTACGTTGAGGATATCCAGTCTGTCATTTTGTTCAGGGCAGGTCCTAGGTGCTCCCTCAAGGGTCCAGGCTGAGAGAGCATCCCTCACTGTGGGATGAACACCCAAAGTCCATTTGTATGCCAGGGATAAATACTGATCTCCTCAAGGCCCCATAGATTGTCTAGGTCTCCCCACTGATACCCACATTCAGCGGGTCTGGATCAGTCCCATGCTGGTCTCCCAGCCATCAATCAGTTTGGGGTCCAAGAGTTCTCCCTTGTTCAGGTCAGCTGTTTCTGTGGGTTAAACAAGCCCAGTCTTGACCCCCTTTGCTCATCAATCCTCCCTCTCTGTCACTGGGTTCCAGGAGTTCAGCTCAGTGTTCATCTGTGGGTGTCTGTGTCTGCTTCCATCAGTCATTGGTTGAAGGTTCTAGGATGACATATTAGGAAGTAGTTGATATCATCATTAGGGAGGGGCATTTAAGGACAGTTTGACAGATCTCTGGGGAGACAGTTTAAGCATTATCTTAAAGCTCCTAGTACAAGTCTTAGTTTCATATGTGGAAGCCTGTGTCTACTCTAAAGCTCCTAGCACAAAGTCTAATTACTGTATGGGCAGCAGGGGAAGAGCTCTAGCAGGGAACCATGCCAGAGGCATCCAGGCCTAGAGAGCTTCTCCAAATAAGGGCAGGTAGAGAGCAGGACATCCCACGGGGGGGGAGTCCTCCATGTTGTCCAGCCTGGAGAGAGCTGCCAGACCATGGTAGACCACAGCCTCCAACCAGCAAGGCTTCCCCACGGAAGAGGGACTAGAAAAGCTGCGGATGAGAGTTCAGCACCATGGTTAGGGGAGGAGAAGCACAGAGTGGTCATTCCTCCCTAGTGAGATCTGCTTGTATTGGTGTAAGTGAATCAGCCTTCCCCTGGGCAAGTCTCTTGGCTGGGTGATTGAGAGGTTCAGTTGAGTTGACTCTTAAGGGAGGAGTCAGTCTTTGGAGAAGGTATTAATATCCTGTCTCCACTGAGGACCAGAGGGATGAGGGAGGAGGGCTGAAGGATGATGGATGATGGATGAGGGAGAAGGGATGATGGATGAGTATATGCTAAACTGCTTTTAAGGCTCGTTAACATTCTATTAAGAATGGGACTCTAGCTGAGCAGTGGTGTTGCACACCATTAATCCCAGCACTTGAGAGGCAGAGGCAGGTGGATCTCTGTGAGTTTGAGGCCAGCCTGGTCTACAACAGCCATAACTGTTACACAGAGAAACCCTGTCTCAAAAAAAGAGAAAAAAATGGGGTCTCTAAACAATTTTAGATGGGCTGAAAACTGGTGATGGAACATTTCCAAAGCTGTGGATTGATTTTAATCACATGTATCTTCATAAAGAAATGCTCATTTAGGAGAAGACATAAGAAGGACCAGGGACTGGTGGTGGTGGTGGAGGAGAGGTGGAAAGAAATGCAATTATTGTTGTTGTTGTTACTGTGTGCCTGTTTGAGAGTATGTGGAAAGAAATGCAATTACTGTTGTTATTGTTACTGTGTGTCTGTTTGAGAGTATGTGGAAAGAAATGCAATTACTGTTGTTATTGTTACTGTGTGTCTGTTTGAGAGTATGTGGAAAGAAATACAATTACTGTTGTTGTTGTTACTGTGTGTCTGTTTGAGAGTATGTGGAAAGAAATGCAATTATTGTTGTTGTTGTTACTGTGTGTCTGTTTGAGAGTAGTGCATTCTGTGTGTAGATGCATGCACCTGTCCTAAGGAGGCCGGATGGGGGCACTGGTTGTCCTCTTTCACTCTCTGTCTATTCCTCTGAGGCAGGGTCTCTCTCTTAGCCTGGGTCTGGCATTCTCTCAGCTGGGCTGGAAACCCTGGCATTCTCTCAGCTGGGCTGGAAACCCTGGCATTCTCTCAGCTGGGCTGGAAACCCTGGCATTCTCTCAGCTGGGCTGGAAACCCTGGCATTCTCTCAGCTGGGCTGGAAACCAGCAAGCCCCGTCATCCTGTCTCCACCTCCACTTTGGAGCTGTGTTTACAGATGTGCTTGGGACGCCAGGCTAATCACTGGGGGACTGGGGTACAAATCCCAGTCATTGTGATGTAGCACTAAGTGCCAGGCCACTGAGCTACCTCTCCAGCTTCAAGTACACCTTAAAAATGATTTCTTTTAATTTTGTGTGTAAAAGTGTTTCACCTGTACAAATGTCTTATATCATGTGTGTGCCTGGTGCCTGCAGAGGTCAATAGACAGCATTGGATCCCCTGTAACTGGAGTTGAAGATACTTGTGAGCTACCACGTGGGTGCTGGCAACCAAAAACCCAGGTCATCTGCATGAGATCTTAAACTCTGAGACATTTCTCAGCAAGTCCAGTTTTAAATTTCAAGCTATGATATTAAGTTGATCACCAGCCTTCCTAATGCTCCAACCCTGTAATACACTTCCTCATGTGGTGGTGACGCCCAACCATAAAATTATTTTCCATGCTACTTCATCACACATCTATTGAAGTTTTCTTAGCACTATTTCATAAATAACAGTAGGCACTGACCAGTTTCATAGCCTTTCATTTCTGTTAGCTGCTCTGCAATCTAGAGTGAGTTAACATTTACAAGAGGATGAAGGTGGGTTACTTCCAAATACTGCCCCACTCTCCTCAAGGGCTCTCAGCACTGGAGGGTTGTGACATTCCTGGGGCCAATTCCCTGTAGATGCATAGACGGTCTCATTGCAAGGTATTTCCCCAACTGTCTGTACTGTAGTCGTGGCTCACACTGAGTACCACGTCTAAATAAATGACAATCACTTCCCGTCCCATGTAAACCAGTGGGTGGGTCACAGCTATTGTCTTGAATGGTGTCAGGAGGCATTGAACAGGTTGAAGCTGGGTCACAGAAGCATGCTTCTTGACTGAGATTCCAGAGCTGTCCAGACTGAAGGTTATGGGCAATTGTATATCTGTATTTACATCCATCTGTCCATCCATCCATCTATCTATCTATCTATCTATCTATCTATCTATCTATCTATCCACATCCATATAATATCCATATCAGTGTTTGTATCAATATCTGTATCCGGTTAAGACCTCTCCCCTTACCAGTATGGATTTACTTCAAACACCCAAGAAATAAGAAAAAAATCTTTCTTAATGCACGTCAGTTTCTGGCCAACCTCCTAGAGACTCTCCTTAAAAGAGAAAATTTTAACAGCATCTGTAGGTCTTAGGCCCTATCAATTCCCGCGTTCTATCATCTGTAAATATGTTTTAGGTTCGTTCCATTAGACTTGGAGGTGTTAAATATATGTTACAGAGTTAGGAACAGGAATGCTGGCTGTTTCAGATAGATGGAGAGTTCTCTCAAAGTTATTGTCACCATTACTTTAAAAGTAGACCAGTGTTGTTCCTTTTGAATCATGATGTCTGTGTCTCAGTCACTGTTCTGTTGCTGTGAAGAGACACCATGACCAAGGCAGCTCCTATAAGGGCGCATTTAGTTGGGGCTCGATTATAGTCTCTGATGTTTAGTTCATTATCATCGTGTTAGGAGCATGACAGCAGGCATGGCAGGTACTGGAGCAGTAGCTGACAGCCACATCCTGTTCCTTAGCCAGAGAGAGAAACTCTGTTCTGTAGGCAGAGAGAGAAACTCTGGGCTTAGCATGGGCTTTTAAAATCTGAAAGCCCACCCCAAGTGAGGTACTTCCTTCAACAAGGCCACACCTCCAAATCCTTCTAATCTTTTCAAATAGTGCCAATCTCTGCTGACTAAGCATTCAAATATGTGAACCTACGTGAGTCAATCTTATTCAAACCACCACCCTCAGTGCCATCTGCCCTCCTGGCAGGATCACACCCTTCCTGACATGAGAACCATCACTCCGCGGTGGTTGTTACCCAGTGCTATTCCCTTTGAGCCTCTCAGTAGAACCATGTTCTTTGACATGGGAATGGAGCCTAATTTGCAACAATCTTTTTTTTTTTTTGGCTTCTCTGTATTGTTTTTGGAGGCTGTCCTGTAACTCACTCTGTAGACTAGGCTGGCCTTGAACTCACAGAGATCTGCCTGCCTCTGCCTCCCAGTGCTGGGTTTAAAAGCGTGTGCCACTAATGCCCGGCCCAATTTGCAACAATCTTAACAAAAATATGAACATAAATATGGTCTCAGAAGCCTAAAGTGCAGCAAGCCTAAGTTACGTCCAAGGTACAAGTGATTCTTACAGTTTCTAACATCTGATTCATTTACTCCTCATCACCAAGTCATATTAGAGGCAGCACTGCTTTAACCTTGTGTGGTTCAGCATTTCCTAAGGAAGTTTGTCTTTGCTGAATCCATTGTAACTGCAAATTAATAGCTCAGTTTTCCTATATCACACCTATATCTTGTTTATTTCTTTGAGACAAGCTTTCATGTAGCCCCAGGAGGGCCTCCAGCTCAATAGCAACCAGAGATGATCTCAAGCTCCTGGTCCACCTCATTTACTTGCCTAGTGTTGGTCCTATAGTATGAGTCCAAACATACAGCCATACTGTAATACAGCACTGTTCAGGACATCCAGCATCCATGAAGACCTTCATGCTGGTGGTTTACCCTGAAATTGCTAGGTTCTCAGAAGGAGAAGGGTGGCCAGGAGAGGGGTTCCTACTTACCAATCTGTGTCTAGGTGTTTTCACAGTCTGTACTAACTAACCAAAACCCTGGTGCCCTTATGTTTCACAGCTTCGAGAAAAATATGGAGATGTGTTCACAGTGCACCTGGGACCAAGGCCCGTGGTCATGTTGTATGGGACAGAGGCCATAAGGGAGGCTCTGGTGGACCAAGCTGAGGCTTTCTCTGGCCGGGGGACAATTGCAGTGGTTAGACCTGTCTTCAAGGACTACGGTAGGAGTCTCAAAGGTTGGGATGAGGTGGAATGGAGAATGTGCACAGAGGAAGGAGCCAGGCTTATTTGAACTTCCTCTCTACGTCACCCATTATGCCCCGACTTTCTTAGGTGTGATCTTTGCCAATGGGGAACGCTGGAAGGACCTTCGGCGATTCTCTCTGGCCACCATGAGAGACTTTGGGATGGGAAAGAGGAGTGTGGAGGAGCGGATTCAGGAGGAGGCCCAATGTTTGGTAGAAGAGCTGCGGAAATCGCAGGGTGAGTCCCGGAGAAAGGGCATTAAGGAAGATGGAGAAGCAGGAACATGAGTGCACAGCCAGAAAGAGTTAGAGACACACATGGGCAGAGAAAGATACACACCAGACACACACAAACATGTGTGAACACACAGACACACACACACACACACACACACACACACAACATTGGGGAGATGATGCGGGGGAGAGAGAAATATAGCAAGACAGAGAAAGAGATATTAAGTTCACAGTGTCCAATCATAACTCAGAGACATAGATTGAGTGATTCGCATGCTGGCTACTTATGATCAGAGAAATCAATACCCCGGATAAGAATATGTGGCAGTCTGGCATGATGGCACAAGCCTGTATTCCAGTACTCATGGGGCTGAGACAGGAGGGTCAAAAATTCATAGGTAGTTTGGAACATCATGAAATGTTGCCTAAAAGATAAAAAGTGGTTGATGCTGTGGGTGGAACTGAGGCATGCTGGGCTTGCCCGACACACACACAATTCCCATTCTGCTCCCTAACACCATAATGTTGGCATAGAGATACATACCAGTCATCTTGTTATAAATAAAGTACAGGTGGGAGTTTGGATGCTGACTGAGGTCATCCTTGATTTTACATGGTATACAAGGCCATCTTAATTATATCAAATAGTCTCAAAACCTTGTCTATGTCCAAAGCGGGTGTTGGAAACAGGAAACTGTGGTTTTATCTTGTGAGGGTCCTGATGGTGTTTTACCTTGTGGCAGTCATAGCACTTCTGGGTTCTTACAGAAACTTTAACAGAGGTGCACAGGTGACCAAGTTTGTTTCTAGCACCTCAGGCCTCCACCCTGGAGTTTATCCTAAGGTTTCTCAGGAGACGCTGAGATGTCCATGCAGAGGCTGGAAGGGAGCAGAAAGAATCAAGGTCTAAGAAGAGAGAAGAGAAAGAAGCTTAGATGGAGTATGAGGAACCAAACACAGCAGAAAACACTGGGGAGCAGGAGTGAGGGGAGCAGAGGGGCAGGAGAGAGAAGAGAAAGACTAAAATGCAGTGAGACATTTATACAGGAAACCAGAGAGACAGATAAAGACTGACAAATGCCAGGGAAAGATCTGCAGAGGAATCAGGGACAACAGACAAGTGAGACCAGAGAGAGGGACAACAATGGCCCAATATTGCTGGGCTGCCAACATCCCTCAACCATGAGAGCCCATGGTGGAACCCAGAATTCAAAGGCAGCAGGCACCAAGTGATGATGGTTCTTGGACACCACAGAGCCTGGAATCAGAGAAGGAATGAGGAAAGAGTTCTAAATCCACATAAGCAACCAGTGGGAGATAGCTGTGTTAGCTCAGAGTCAGAGTGTTGTCCTTGGAGGAGGTGCAGGGTGGGGACTAACTTACACATGCTCTCCTTCACAGCTCCCTGGTGTGACTCCTGGTCCCAGTCATGAGTAGCTGTGTTACCTTGGAGGAGTTAACTACTGCCTTTGTGTATACTAATTGCATTGCATCCAGGGTACAATATTGAGAGGAAACTAAATAAAATGGTGTGTGCCCTCTTGAGTGCAGGAACTGGTGCATCTCATGTGCAAATGAGGTAGCTTCTGTTGCTATTATATCAGTAGTGAGTGGTGAGGACAACTTTACAGAGATGAAGCCAAGGCCAAATATTCCTCATGATGCCATGTCTCCTGTCCTGTCTCTTCATCCTTCAGGAGCCCCCCTGGACCCCACCTTCCTTTTCCAGTGCATCACCGCCAACATCATCTGCTCCATTGTCTTTGGACAACGCTTTGACTACAAAGACCGTCAGTTCCTGCGCCTGCTGGACCTGTTCTATCAGAGCTTCTCGCTCTTCAGCTCGTTCTCCAGCCAGGTCAGTGTGTGGGGAGAGAGGAGCATCCAGGGCAGAGGAAGACCAGGCTGCTCTGTGGGTGCAGAAGGGGTGTGCTAGGATGGAAGAGAGGCAGAGACAACATGGAGAGGGAAGGAGGTTAGGAGCAGGAGTGACAGAGGAATGGGGAACAGGGTGGAGACCACATGGAGACAGAGGGAGTCTGAGGCCTGGAGGAAATGAGGGGGAGTGTTTATCAGGGTGGAGAGACCTGAATGCAGAAATACAGAGCCATCCAGACATGAGAAAATGATTATATGTGGATGTGGCTGTAGCTAAGAGGGTAGGGGACTCGTCTATCATGTTTAAACTCCTGGGTTCATCTCCAGCACAAAATAAGGCAGGCATGGTTGATACCCATATGCAATCCCAGTACACGTGAGATCAGAATTCAAGACCATCTGTGGATAAGTGTTGAGTTTTAGAACAGTCTGGACAGGAGGCCCTGATTGAAACAGAACAGACATAAATTTGATGGCTTAGGAAAGACGGATGGAGAAGACAGGACAAGTGTGGAGAAGGATTCATGGAAACAGACTGACCGCATGCCCTGTGTGCATGTGCACGAGAGGGAAGGAAGGAAAAGAGAAGACGTGGACAGGAGGGCAGGAAAACACAGGGGGAAGTGCAGAGGACAGAGGAGAGAGCGCAGATCCTCATGAAACATGGGGACCTAGGAACACATCCTGCTTCTCGAGAGCTGACAGCTCCAGGTGACCTTCTGGACCCCTCTTTCCTGCAGGTATTTGAACTCTTCTCTGGCTTCCTGAAATACTTTCCCGGTGCCCACAAACAAATCTCCAAAAACCTGCAGGAAGTCCTTGACTACATTGACCACAGCGTGGAGAAGCACAGTGAAACACTGGATCCCAACAACCCGAGAGACTTCATCGACACCTACCTCCTACGCATGGAGAAGGTAAGTCCCGCATGATTGAGAGGGGGATGAGTGAGGGTGAATCCTGAGAATGTGAGAAGAGGAAATGAGGGCAGCGGATGGGAAGGAGAGACAGGAAATGGAGTGGAGGAGATGCAGAGCATCTGGAAAATGAAGAAAAGAGAAGGGAGGAGAAATGAAATAAGGGGAAAGAAGACTGTGGAGGAAACACAGGGCAAGGACAAAAAGCAGAAAAGAACTCAGAGGAGGAAAGAAACCATGATAAACTACCAGAGAGCAGTGTAGAGAGAGCAGACAGAACACACAGGGACCAGGTGACATTGTCAAGGTCTAAGAAATGCCGTGTGGTCCATAGAGTGAGACTGACAGACAGTGCCCAGGATGTGTGTCATCTCCCTGCAAGGCTGCAGTCACCCTGACCCTCCCTTCTCTCCTCTCTGGAACCAGGAGAAGTCCAACCCACACACGGAGTTCCATCAGCAGAACCTCATTATCTCCGTGCTGTCTCTCTTCTTTGCTGGCACTGAGACCAGCAGCACCACACTCCGCTATGGCTTCCTGCTCATGCTCAAGTACCCCCATGTTGCAGGTGTGCCCCAGGCAGCCAGTTGGGGAGCTTCTAGCTCCCTTTTGTCTGTGGAGGTTTGTGTGAACAAGAGAGACCTGGGTCTCTTCCACCTGGAACTCTGGAGGTTTGGTCTACTTCTAAACTAGGGCAGTGCTCTGGGCAGTGTGTGAATGAACCCTTAGCTGAGCTGTTTTCCACTGTTCTCTCCTATCATTGAAAGGTTGATTCATCCATCCATGCATCCATGCATCCATGCATCCATGCATCCATGCATCCATGCATCCATGCATCCATGCATCCATGCATCCATGCATCCATGCATCCATCCATCCATCCATGCATCTATCCATCCACCCATCTTTCCATCATCTATTCATTCATCTTTCTGTCCATGCACATCTTCATCCATCTACGTATCCTGTTTGTTCACCTACCTATCTGTTCAACCACCAACCCCCCTGTCATCCACCCATCCCTTCATTCATTTTCCCATCCATCTCAACATCTGCCTATCCAAACCCCTGTTTACTCAGCCATCCTTCCATATACCCACGTACAAACACGTATTCACAAACACACACACACACACACACACACAGCCCTCTAATACCGTCCCTTGACCATATATCAATCCATTGTCCAATTGATACTACAATTACCCAACCAGCCATTTCATTCAGTTATTTAAGTTGATCAACTTAGTTTTTGCTTTGTTCAGTAGAATTGAATGAATTATCCACCAATGATTTATTCATGCACTCATGTGTCCTTCTGTCAACAGGGTCATTTCTTAATCCTTTCATTAACTGGCCTTTGAATTCATCTTTCATTTGCTTATCCATTCCTCCATTTATCCACTAATTGAATCGTGTGTTGACTAATAAGTGGAATACATAATCCAGTGTTTAGTCTGTTCATTTCATTAACTCCTGAATCTGTGCATTTATTAATTGATTTATCCATTAATTTTCTTCTGTGTTCATTTTTACATCCATCCATTGATAGATACATTTGCTAATCTACCAACTTCTCTATTATATTCCTGAGGGTACAGCCTTGAGTTCTTAATATAATGTGAAGTTATGGTACATGTGCAAGTTAGAGTGTGTGCACGTGTGTACATGCATGTTTGCATATGTGTGTGTGCATATGTGTATGTAAATATGTATGCATGTGTGTATGTTGTATATGTACATGTGTTTATGTGTGTATGTATGCATTTGTGAGTGTATGTGTGTGTATGTGAATGTGTGTATGTATACATATATGTGTAGTTATGTGTGTGAATGTGTATGTGTACGTGCATGTATGTATGTGTGTGTATATGTGTGTATATATATGTGTGGATGTGTGTTTGTGTGTGTGCATATGTGTGTACCCAGAGACAATTCATTCCCTTGCAAAGGTGAGAATTTTTACTACTTTTATCCCTAACACTCCCACATCTAAATGATTGCTATGAAGTTTCCCTATGCAGTAGCCCTTTGCTGTATGTTTTACTTACTTTTTAAAAAAAACCTCGATGAAATGAGGTTGAAGTTACATAGGAGAGTCTTAATTTAGTTTTAAACATGGACACAGAGAGACTTTTGCATAAGGATAGGACAGTTTTATGCCATGAAGTACAGTGCAATTTTCAGGAGAGTCTCTTTGCTGGATTCTTTCCTGGCTTGTTGGCTCATAGAATAAGCATCGTTGCTACAAAACTGGGAGATCAGATTCACCGTTCCCCTCTTCTGTGCAGAGAAAGTCCAAAAGGAGATCGATCAGGTGATCGGCTCACACCGACTTCCAACCCTCGACGACCGCACCAAAATGCCATACACCGAGGCCGTCATCCACGAGATTCAGAGATTTTCAGATCTTGTCCCGATTGGTGTGCCACACAAAGTCACCAAAGACACTTTGCTCCGAGGATACCTGCTCCCCAAGGTGAGACTGGCTGTCACTCCACATCTCTACTCCATGAGCCTCCTGCATTCTCCTTGATCCCAGGACCAGCATGGTGTTCATTTCCCAGCATTCCTGGTGTATTATTGATGGTTTGACTCTGCATATGTGAGTCAGGGCATGCTAACACCTTTGTATCTTGTAATGTCTCCTAGGATACTGAAGTGTACCCCATCCTGAGCTCAGCTCTCCATGACCCACAGTTCTTTGAACAACCAGACACCTTCAATCCTGACCACTTCCTGGATGCCAATGGGACACTGAAGAAAACTGAAGCTTTCATGCCCTTCTCGACAGGTGAGACTCACCTGTGCTCTCTTTCTCAGTCACTAGAGGGCAGACTCATCCTACAGGACACAGACAGGACTAGGTCCATGTTTCCTGAGTCTATTCCAGCTGCTCTGCCTGAACCATCACATCTGCCCTGGCTACAGCCCCACAAGGGGACTCTTGAACTAAAGGTTATGAGGACTTTGGGGAAGTATTTAAGGTCCTCTAACCCTGTGCAAATCATTTTCTTAAGAAACGGCAGCAAGAACAACTGACATAATCTATGAACAGTGCTATGAACTGGGTAGGGTCTTGATGGCTGGGAGACACTGACTTTAGCTGTGAGCACTGGTGACATGGGGCATGTCTTCACACTTGTCCCTGTTTGCATACTCTAGTTAATTTTTAAGAGACATCAAAATTACCATTCCTGATGGATAATATCCTGAACCAGAGAAAGTTCAGAGTTCCAGCATCCGTCAGTGTCAGCACGTGGTTTCTGTAGACTCGAGGGAGCTGGGCATGGACACAGACCCTGATGGGTGCCATGCTGGGGTAGTTGTCAGCCTGGGGTAGGTCAGCTGCTTCAGTGACTGAGATTTGTTCTTCACTGATATTAATCTCAAGTTATTGTGTAGTTTTATTGCCTGTTGTGTTAGGTTAGTGTGCCACATAGAAGCTCTCTTTGGCAAAATTTAATTCAGTTTAATGGACTCTATTGGATGTAAACATGGAAACTTAGTGTTCAGGTTTTTTATCTTTTAGAGAAAGAGGAGTTCTACAAACAATGCTTTAGCCTTTGTTGCCCCTCAACCCCAACTGGATCCTCATACTAGGGGTGAAACCCAGGGCTGAGTGTGTTAAGCAAGTTCTCTTCAAAAGAGCCCACTCCTCCAGTCTTTCCCTGTGCATTCTAGAAGACCCTTGTAAGCCAGTGGGAGTGTTACAGTTCTGGAGCTGCAAAGGTGTCCTGACTTATCAGGAAGCCAGGGTAAACTTAGAGCCACCATAGGACAGTTCTGGAGGCTGGTGCTGCAATAGGACAGCTCAGCCCTGGAGGGAAAGGTGTCCTGATTTGTTGGGAAGTCAGGGATACCTGAATCTGGGGTGTGGTGGGGGATTGCCTCCCACAGGATATAGAAATCTATGTCCTCTCCTAGAGAGAGCAGTTACAGTGTATCTCTGCTCTGTTCCCCTGAGGGAACCCCCTAGCAGAGCTCTCTGCTTCTTCAGCTGAGGCCCAAGAGGTTACTTCTTGTGTTAAACCCTGCTAAAGATGCTTCTGCCCGAATGTAGCAATCTCCCCTGGCTCTGGTGAAACGTTGTTACCTTTTCTGCTCAACCTTCAGAATGGCCCTGAGGGAATCCCTGCAAGGATTTTCTGCTCAGTCCCCTAAGGGAAATCAGCAAGAGTCTCTTCTGCACCGGTGAATGAAGATCTTCACCCAAGACTCTTTTGAGAAAGAGGTTTGTTAGGGAAGGAGGAATCCAGGAGAGTGGCTGCCTCTGCCATGTTGGGAAAGGACAGCCAGCAACTCAACAGGCAGGGGGCTTACACAGGGCTTCTTAGGGGTGGAGTTTTCCCAGGCAAGATTTTCTTCTTAGGGATTGGTTAGTTTTTCAGATCAGTGATTGGCTAGTTTTCCTGCTCAGGGATTTAGTTTTTCAGTTCAGGGACTGGCTAATTTTCCTGTTCATGGATTGGTTGATTTTGTGTTTCAGTTGGTCAGGGGCAGAGTTGTTGGTTCTGTATTCAGGGCCAAACTGTGTTTCTTTCACTGCCCTGTTTGTTTTTTGTTTTTGTTTTTTTTAGCTTTTTGGTTCTAGTTGCGGCCAGGGCATAACTTTCACTGGCTCTGGTTCTAGGGCCAAGGTGTGTATCTTTAACTCTGGTTTCAGAGTCAGGCTGTGTTTCTTATACTCTAGGTTCAGGACTAAAGTGTTTCTTTCACTGCCTCTGGGTTCTTGGTCAGTGTGGTAGATTTCATGCTCAGGGATTGCATGGTTTCTTTGGCTGTCCCTCTTACTCTACTGTACTTCCCTTCTGAGCCTCTCTGAGCTCTGTCCTCATCCCCTAAATGCGGGATTTTAGGCAAGTCCTCTCCAGGTGATCTGGATCACAGCTAAGAATTGTCTAGTCTTGAGTGTCCAAGTGACTTCAGTGACCCTGGGCAGTATAATGGGCTCCTTTCATATTTCATCTTCAGAGTTGCAGACATGTAGGGCGTGAGATAAAAGCAAATTGTGCATATAACAGACACAAGTTTGGAAGGACAGTGATGTGGAGAAAAGGGACATATGAAGAGGACATGTGTGACTAGGTATAGTCAGACAGAGAGGACGGAGGGGCTGGGATGTTAGCTAGGAAGTTAGAAAAAGTAAACAGAAAAGAGATAAAAGACACACAGTGATGATGGCTATACACACAGGGTTCAGGGGATTGAACTCTTGTCCTCAGGATTGATGGCAGGCTCCTTTCCACACTTAGACATTGGTGCTGGCTCCTGAACCAGTTCTTTAAGGTTTTAGGAATCTCTCAAAGTGTCACTTGAATTGCAGGTTGAGAGTCAAACCTTCTCATTCATTGCAATGGGCAGAGTGTCTGGTTCTAGGGTGGGACAGTCTGAAGGTTGTTTACTGCCCTGGGGCTCACATGTCTCATCCTCTGTGCCCACAGGAAAGCGCATTTGTCTTGGAGAAGGCATCGCCCGCAACGAATTGTTCCTTTTCTTCACCACCCTCCTCCAGAACTTCTCTTTGTCCAGTCCCGTGGATGTTAAGGACATTGACCTCAGTCCCAAGGAGAATGGCTTTGGCAGAGTACCCCCAACATACCAGATCTGCTTCTTGTCCCGATGAGTCATGTGAGGTGACCAGATGTCTCTACTCATGTTCTAATGTCCCCATGTCTCTGCCTCTGAGAGACATGATGGAAACCAGGTCCCAGATCACTCCTCACCTCATCCACCTTATGTAACTAATCCAAAGCTCCGAGGTGTGCTCTTCTGCCCTGTGAGTGGTACTGGAGAAATCAATCAATTGATTGTGTGAACACAGAGACTTCTGGAGGCCACGTATCACACTGAGTCACTCCCATATTGCTCTCAACAGCCTCCATCCCAGGTATCAGTTCCAGGTGCACCATGAAGTAATCTAATGGACTCTGTATGTGGCATGAATTCTGCATATATGGACTTGCCTCATATGTATGTATGGTTCACATAAATGGAATCACACAGTGTGTGACTTGGTGTGTGGTGTCTTTACTTCACATAGCATTATCTAGTTTCTTATGCTTTGATTCCCACAGTCACACACCTTCAAGTGCCTTCATCATGGTCTTTCTCAGCAAAAGCACAATTGCCTTGGTTCATGTGTTCTGCCAGCAGAAGGTATGTCCCTGGTTTAGAATGGACCTTCCTGCTTCTAATAATCCTATAGGAAATCTGTCACAGGAGTGTCCAGCAGCCTGGGTTTAGTTGGTGGCAGATATGGTCAAGCTAACACTCAAGAGCGGCCATCACAGTGCCCAGTCCATGGTCTCCCGGCTAGTCTTACAGGTGACCTCTTGATGCCTGGTAACTAAGGCTCCTTCCGGAAGGGCTTCTTGCTGCAGTCTCTGTCCCATCCACGACAGGTTGTGCAGGGTCACCCTGCTGCTTTGTTTCCACTCTGCTGTGAGAACCTGGAACCCCATGCGGGTGACACTGGGTGTTCACTATAGTGGAAGAGTAACCAGTAAGTATGTAAAGAACTCAATGAAGTGACCCCAGCCGTGTTGGGTACCTGCTCCCTTTCATCAACCTTGTCCCCTCCTGGCCTCTTGGCCTGGCTTCCCCTTCTCCCCTCCCCCTGCTCGTCACATGGCCCAGCACATTCTGGGCTCTCCCAGATGTCCCTGCCTCTGGCTATGCTCTACAATAAACTTCCTCTGCCACCACACTTGGAGCCCTCATGTCCTTGCCATTTATTGTTTCCTTCATTCATCTGGAGCTGAAGCCTGGACCAGCCACATCCTTTCTTTTTTCATTCAATTATGAGTTGCTTTGGTATGAGTCTGACCTTCCACAAGCAACATATAGATCCTTAGTTTGGATCCTGGTTTCAGCCGACCCTAGTATAGAGGCATGATGGTGTTGAAGGGACCAGAGCCTCACCCAGACCCCTGCTTTGGCAGCCATGACCGGCTGCAGAAAAGTCCCAGCAAGATGTAGGCCCCTGACTCAGAAACATGTGATGAGCTCCAGACCTTGCAGGACCTTCTAGTCAATAGGAAGCCAGATGCCCTCCATGTGGTGAGGAACTAATCATATGTCAGCTGGTGGACTCTGGAATGTGGAGCTAGCAACTGCCCTGGGAGTGCCTGTAGGCATAGCATCTTTTCTGCAGCTTCAGCTGACCAATCAACACAGGACAGGTTACCCAAGCTCCGAGGTGCACCAATCCTGAGACTGTTGCTATGCAACTAGTGGACGCCCTTACCCTATCCCAATATATTCCTTGTTCCACTAGTACTCAAAGTCCTTCTTGCTCCATCTGCTATGTTGGGCCGACAGAGAACATGAGTTAATAAGTCAACTTGGTAATTAGTTAAAGATTCTTTGTTTTTGCATCACGTCGGGTCTCTTGATGATTTTGAGGTTCAGAGTTGGGCACAACAGTGGGAGTGACCTTGCTGGGGTGGTGAGACTGTGTGGTAGGGTCGTTCACGTGCTAGCAAGCAAAGAGAGCATGCTAGCACCAAGCCCACCACTGTTGACCTGTTTCTACCAGCCAGAACCCAATGCCTAATGGCTTCATATCCTTCAAAATACCCCACAAAGGACTGGAGAGACAGGTTAGGTTAAGAACACTGGCTGCACCTCCAGAGGACCTGAATCCAATTCCCAACATCCATGTGGTGGCTCACAACCATCTGGAACTCTAAGCCCAGGTGACCCTGTGCCATCTTCCAGTCTCCAGGGGCAATGCATGCCAGTGGTTTACATGTATACTTGCAGGGAAAATCCCCAAACACATTGCATAACAATAAATAAATATTAGAAAATGCCATAACATTGAAATTTCAAAACTTTAGCAAATCCATTCAAGCATTATGCTGACTTGCCCCTGTCACCTGAAGAATGCACTCAGGCAGTGCCCTGGTCATCTCAGGGATCCATTGTTGTGTAGTCTGCACGCAGGTGCAAAGGACCCCTTTAAAACGCAGATCCCTGTCCAATTATGCTCTCTCTTTTCCTGCTCTCTTTCCTGCTCTCTCTTTCCCTCTCTCTTTCTTGCTGTTCCCCTGGGACAGAAATTACTTTTCCTGTCTCTTCTCTCCTCTCCTCTTTTCTTCTGTGTCTGTATCTGTCACTCTTTATCTCTTTTGTCTTCCTTCCCCCTCCTCTCCCCTTTCTAATAAAACTTCTTACTTAAGGCCTGTCTACCCACATGTTTGTCCCCCACTTCAATCAACTGTGCCTGCCATGGAATCCACCAAATTCCCCCACAAGCTTTATCATGACACATGGGAGGACACTTCAGGCTCATGACATCACGGTAAGTCATGAGGTCCCATCTCATATCGCCCTACAACATGAACACACTTGGTTTGTAAGAAGAAAGACAAGAGAGGTGAACTTACTTTGAGAGACTCTTACCTTGAGGTGTAGAACACACATGTCCCTGTTGGTCCAAACATCCCTGAGTGTTGCAGGAGCTTGTAGCCCTCCAGAGGGTTCCCCAGGTATAACATCCCTGAGTGTATAGCAGCTTGTAGCCGTCAGCATGGTTCCACAGGCATATCCTCTTTACCTCTCAAGGGAACCAACTGTGCCCAGAAGATAAGGTGGCATCCGGAGACTCCTGGTCCATCTGGTGCCTTCACTGGGCATTACCTCACCTGGGAGCACCTGCACCTCCTTCTGCTCTTTATATATTTGTTTATTTTTATTGCATGTGTATGAATCTGTTTATTTGCATGCCTGGTGCCTGCCAAGGTCAGTACAGGCTATTAGATTCCCTGGAATTAGAGATGGAACTGGTTGTGAATTGCCACATAGATGCTGGGAGCCCAACCCAGGTCCTAGGGAAGAGGTGCTCTTAACCACTGACCCATCTCTGCAGTCCATTCTCACACTTTAAAACACAGGACTGAGGCGAGCATGGAGAGCCCTTTGCTACAAGACAACAAACAACACAATAGTTGCAAGCTGAGTGCCATTGTCACTGCTGGGTTATAGAAAAGGAAACAGAACACCAGAGAGTTCAAGGTGCTTGCCCAAGCTCACCGAGCTCATTACTGTTGGTCTAGAATCTACATGGCAAGCAGTGAATTGTTACATTGTTGCAGTGACCAAAAGCTGCCTGAGAAACAAACTAAACGGAGAGGCAGTTTCAGCACACCGGAACTAAACGGAGAGGCCGTTTCAGCACACTGGAACTAAACGGAGAGGCCGTTTCAGCACACCCGAACTTCATGTTAGGATGAGAGCAAGGGGCCGGAGGAGAGCAGGGCATGACATCTTAAAGGACTCACTCCAGGAGCTGTCTCGTCCATCCTGGTCCCATCTCCTTAAGTCTCTGGGACCTTCCAAATAGTGCCACTAGCTGACTGCCAAGCTCTCCCTACATGAAGCTCTGCCCCATCCCCTCGATTCTTTTTTTGAGGTGAGGGCATTTCCCATGTAAATCCTAACATGTACAAGCACACATACACATAATCTAATTAAAAATGCCTAGCCAGGTGATGATGACACACACCTTTAATCTCAGCACTTGGGAAACACACACAGGAGGATCTCTGTGAGTTTGAGTCCAGCCTGGTCTTCATAGTGAGTTCCAGGACAACTAGGGATATCTAGTATGACCCTGTCTTGAGAAACAAACATACAACAAATACACAAAATGTCAGTGTGCCTGTGAACTTGAGGAATGCTGTGTTTGCACCCTCACCTTGCCTGTGAGTTTTTCAGCAAGTCCTCTCCTTCCCTGTCTTAGTTTGTCAGCTGTAAATCCAGAGGGGTGGGTGTTAGGAGGTCACATGGGGTGTGGCTGAATTCCTGCTGGTCTGGTACCAGAATGTTAGCAACTAACCCTAATCCCCACTGGGCTACATCTGGCCTAGAGAGTTAGCACCCAACTCTAATCCATCTTTTGTATAGCAGACACCCTTTGTTTCTCTTGTTCCCCTGTGGAAATCTTGACTGAGAGTTTCTCCAGGACCCAAAGCCTATGCAAACCTTGGTTCAAAAACCTGGAAAACTGTGGCACCTGATGAATCCAGACTCTGCACATGGCATTGTCTTTTTGGAAGCCTAATTCAAGTTGTAATCAAGTGGCTACAATGTAAATATAGAGAAAGATAAAAATGCCCTGAGTGAGGGGAAAGCGCTTCAGTCCATTGAGGTTGGGGACCCTTGAAGCCTCAGAAGGCTGAGTTCATTCCTAAAGTTTCTCTGTGCCTTCTTTCCACAGAGCCTGGTGAACCCATACCTGCTCTACTGAAAGAAGAACACCAATCTCTGGAGTTCTTACATTCCACACGGATGCAAACAAGTCAGATAAGGCAGGCTATAAATCAGGAAATGTAAGTAAAAGGAAGTTGTACGCCATTCTCATGGTTCTTACAGACTTTATAGAACCACTCAATATAGTTACAAATACTCCATATACAGAGAGAGTTGTCTTACATATTGAGACTGCAAAATATGTTTCTGATGATACAGAATTAACCTCATTGTTTCTACAATTATAGGAAACCATCAGAAATAGGGCTTATCCTATATGCATAACACACATCAGATCCCATAAGGGTCTGACAGGTCCTCTAGAACAAGGCAATGATGAGATTGATCATTTATTAATAGGAAGTGTGTTGGAAGCTTCAGAATTTCATAAGAAACACTTTGTTAACTGCACAGGCTTAAAGAAGGATTTTTTCATCACTTGGCAACAAGGCAAGGGAATAGTAAGAAACTGCCCCACCTGTTCTTTCTATAACCAAACTCTTCTACCAGCATGCAGTAATCCCAAAGGTATTTGCAGGAATGAAATTTGGCAAATGGATGTATTTCACTTTCCAGAATTTGAAAGTTTTAAATATGTACACCATACCATAGACACGTTCTCAGGCTTCCAATGGACTACTGCCCTCATCTTTGAAAAGGCTGATTTTGTTATCACACATCTCTTGGAGATGATGGCTGTTATGGGTATACCTACTCAAATAAAAACTGACAATGCTCCCGCATATGTCTC